TTTATATCGTGAGAATATATATATTTTACTAACAACAGTTTTATAGTAAGTAATAATTTAAGAAACTGTCAGTCTGATAATTTGTTCAAATATTTACACTTCATAAAACATTATTAGTTTTTTGATGTCTTAAACAGTCATATTTTCCACTTCCTCTAGCTTCAATTGCCTTACGTTTTAGCTCTTAAAAATATACGTAAAAAAGCAGCTAGTAAATTTAAATGCAGTTGGTTTATATTACATTCTAGGCAGTTTTATCTACATATATATTTTCTGAACACTTTGTAATTTATCATGGCCCATCGTTGGCGAGCAATAAAAAATCTTGGCATCTTAATCAAATATTCAAAGTACAACAATCATCCAGAGGAGGAGGAGTATGAATAATGAGGTTATTGGCCTCAGACATTGAATATCGTTTTGCCAGACAAAGGCCGGCAGGCGTGCAGTTAACCTACTATATATACTGTAATATATATATAGGAGTACTTTCTCACAAATTGCTGGCAAATATGTGTACAACATAAATAAGTTTCTTCCAGGCGCAAATGTATGCAACAATAAACATTTTTTGGGTGCTCTGTAATGAGCATTTTTATGCGAGGAGGGGTCAAAGTTGAGGCCGTATGAATAAACGAAACAGGCATTTAGCATGCCAATGACGTAGACAGCTTCGCTAGGTCGATTCTCGTTTTTTTTTTGTTTTTCATTTTCTTTTGGGAAGTTTCCCTGGCAGCGGGATCAGGCGCTAAGCTGGCTTCCCAAGATTTCCGTTTTTCTACCTTCGCATTAAAAACTCATTTCGAACAAAACTTTCCCCAAAAAGAAAGAGGATCAAACGGGGCAGGAAAGCGTAAGTCTCCGTCAATCGGCTTAATTTGTCACCACTAACAAGGCACAAAAATTTAAAAAACAAAATGGGAAAATATGCCAATAATGATTAAATACTTTTAATTGCACCAGGGCCAGGGCCAGTCCTGCCTTTCTGCCCTTTTGGATTATGTCAGCTCATTAGCGTCACTTCTCATGGCAGAATCCCTCTGACATTTTAGTGCTGCCAGTGGCACCGCCATGATTAGCTGTCCCCGGCATATATGGAGGGGTTTCAGCCTGGAAATTAGCATGTGACTGGCTGCCATTTACGCGTTTTTAAGCACTGCCTAAGTCAAAAGACCCTCCCTTCTCTGACTCAAAAAAAAAGAAGAGCGGAAACGGAAGGGAGTCAACTGTCATGTCGCTTTTATCCTGATGCCCGCTCCCATTTGGCTGCTGACATTCCCAGCCCTGAATGCGCTTTCCCAGCCGAACCCTTCATTCCAACAGCAACTGGCAAAAACTGGCAGACACCAAGGCAGACGGACAGCCCAAGGGCGACAGATATATACATACAGTTCCCCTGTAAAACCATTCATGAAATTTTAAAAACACTCGTTGGAATACTCTATGGAGTGGTTAGAAGGTTGATTTCGAATTCAAGATATGTAATAATTGAATAAGTTAATAGTATAGGTCTTTAAAAAGTATAAAGTATAAAATCCTATGTAGAAATATTAAATAAATCACACCTTTGACATTAATGGAAGAGTGGAGTCCTATTAAAAAATATTTAATATAAATAAATTACCGTTTGACTTTAATGGAAGAGTTTGTAATAAGAAAACACAAGTTTTGATTATTGAAAATATAACTAAAATTAAAAGTTTTGTAACTGTGTTTCTAACCATTTTTTTTTTACTAAAAATAATTGATATAATATATAAGATATAAAAATATTGATATAATATAATAGTTATAATCTTTCTAAATATATATAATTACAGAGAACTGTAATTTTTAGTCAATAGTTTGTAACGAAATTAAGGAATCATTTCGGTCTTTAAATTTAAAATTCTGCTTTGCTATCCTAATATTTATAAATGAAATTAATGCACTTTAGGGTTAGTTATAATCCATTTTAAAATGCAAGGGTATACAAACTTCGAATTTTCTGTAAATTTTTAAAATGTTCTTGTTTATCTTAATATTAATAAATTAAATTAATGCATTTTAGACTGAATTATGATCCCATTTTAAAATACAAGGGTATACAAACTTCGACTTTTTAAAGTCAGCTTCCTTTCTTGTTTTTTTTTATTTACTTAACATTTACCTGAATGGCTTTCCCTTTGCATCGTTGTTTTTTTTCTCCCTTCCGACCCGTATGCCTAATTTAATTTGCTTTTACTCAGGACAGAGACAGAGAAGGAAAGACCCAGATAGAAAGAGAGGGAGAGACAGAGAGAGAGATAGAGAACCGGCGACACTGGCTGGTAATTTATTTCACCGCTAATTTGTATGAATTCCTCGTGCAGTCGCATTAAAGGCGACGCGGTCGCATCAAAACAAAATGGCCGACACTCACCTGTCCGCTCTAATGGCCGTTGTTTATGTAGTTCTACGTAGACTTCCCCATCCCCTTCCCTTGGTGTATATTTTATGCTTATAATTAAGTGCCTCGCAATTTGCCCTATATTAAACAGTCATGGGGGTATCTGAACCTTAAAGCTGAGAGTCCTTCTTGGGAAATCTAAAAATTATTTCTATTAAAAAAGTCAGAGATTGTAACTGATAATACGAGTTAGTTTCAAGCTTTTCACCAGAGACTACTATTAATAAATTTGGATTGCTCTGCAGAGAGTAAAACAGTTTAGTAGTTCCAGCTAATAACTTTAACTAATACCTGCTAGCGTTCATCACCCAAGTGACCTGATGTCTGACTACCGCTGAAAGTGTCCTTGATGGGGGCCCAAATCGCCGTGTTTCTAAGTCGATTTATTTGTTGGGGAAAGTGGAGGGAATTGCCAGCTTTATGACCGTTTTATGTTTATAGATACATGTCTGAGAGGAGCTTTCATTAGTGAATAATAAATCAGAGATATATATATTTCACAATGAATTGTTTTCGAGTTGCTTATTAATTCAGACATTTGAAATACGTCAAAAAAAATTAACAATATTATTATATCCTTAAATGGTATTATAATTTCAGTCAGAAGCTTAAAACGCAGTGAAGGAATCATTTCCGACCCCATAAATCATATATATTCTTGATCAGCATCAACAGCTGAATCGATCTAGACATGTTTAGCAGAAAATTTTTTTTTTTATATTTTTATCTAAATTTTGTTATTAAATTTGACAAGTTACTTATGTGAAAATTTGACCAAAATTTAATATCGTCATACTTAAAAAATCTGTAAGCAGATTTGTTAATCTAATAAAAACTAACACAAAACTACTTTCCGAATCAAAATTAATGCATTTTTGGCTTAGTTATGAATTTTTTACAAATTGATTTATAGACAAAAATGTCATATAAAATATAGATAAATATCTACTCAAAGAATGGTATTATAAGTTTAGTCAAAAGCGTGTAAAACTGTGAAGGAGTAATTTCCGACTCCATAAATCATATATATTATTGAAGTATACAGATTTATTAACTTAATAGCTCAGCTTACTAGCACAGAAAAAGTTTCTGAATGGAAATTAATGCATTTTAGGCTAACTTATGATAGTTTTCATGAAAAAACTACAGGTTCTACGGATTTCCGTTTTCCGATGTTAGCTTCTATTTTCTATTTTTTTTTTCTTGTTTCAATATAATATTGCATTATTATATTTAATTTATATTAAAATATTACTTTTTCCCGGATACCAGTCAAGATCATATTGCATTACATGGGCGCTAGAAATGTTTTTTACGTCATTTCTAAATGTTAAAATATAAATTTTAAAAAATGTATATGTAATTTTACATGTATTTATACACAAGACGTAATTTTGTCGAATTTGTGTTTACTTGTAAAAATGGACAGCTTAGAATACACTTTCTACATGAAATAACCAAACCAGTTTTAAAGCTTCATTTATATAAGCTTCCAACTCGGCCAAGAGTTAGATGGCGCCAAAAATATGTTGCATGTAGTAAAGTTTATTTTTAGGCGCAAATGTGTATATTTTTCTTAATTTTAATTTATATATTTAAATATGTTAATTAAAAGAAAAGTGTTCCCATGTTTCATTTTTCCTTTTCATGTAATTTTTTTATGATTTTAAAGAGAAGATAACCCGAGTTCTTTTAAATAAATGAAAAAACTTTGGCAAATACAAATTATAATAAAACTAAAAACCAAATAAAAAGAAAGTGCTGTGCAAAATCAATTCAAAAATTCACAACGAATTTTACAATAAATATTGTGTTATCATACAAACCGCTTTTTTAAATTGCGCTTTTCAAGAGAAATTAACATGAAATGATATCCTACGGTTCAAAGACAATCCCTTAAAGTCAATAAATCCAGGTGTTTAATTAAACAAACCTTTCTCTTTTCGTATGCCTTAGTTTTTCCCCCTAAAAGAGACGCAGCTGCTTAAAAACGTTGTCAACAACTCATTAAACCTAAAATCTTTTCAGCTAGCAAGTCATTGAGTATTACCAAGGATCTATTATACCATCGCTGGCTGTGTGGTCGGTCACCTGGGCCGAAAGGCAAATGCAACCAGGTGACACGTGTTAAGAAATTCCGCACATGGCAACTGGTCGGCAGTTGAAATGCCACACAGCAGCAGTTGCAGCTTCAGAAGAGTGGACAGAGGACTTGGGACCCTTTCCAGCTCCTTGGCTCATGCATATGCACAACATGGGAGGGAGATCCATCCGTGGACCGACCAGAGAGATCCCCCAAACCCTTTTAGTTGTTTCATAACAAATGACTAACAACATGGCCAACTGACTGGCCAGCGACAATCGCAGCTAGATAAACAGCCTCAGCTGCAGATACAGATGCGAATGGTTAGGTTAAGATACACTTCTAAAATAAAGAGAAGATCTCTTTACACAACTAAATCATAATTTAAAAGTATTTTCCATAGAAAGATATTAAGGTTTCAGTATAAAATTTATATATAATATATACGTTAAATATTTTTATATTTAAATAATAATTTTATAGACTTACCCCCATTTCTTGGCATGTACATATTCAGAAGAGAAATGCATGCTCTCGTACACGTACTTGTATCTGCATCTGCATCTGCATCTGGATCTGGATCGCGGGGCATCTGTTGGATCTGCACAGCGGGCCCGATTAGTCGAAATGATGATCAAAGTGCTGAAGCCTCGGTGGAGGATGGAGGTGATCCCGGGATGAGTCCAGCATTGATTGCGTGTGGCAAAAACAAACGCCACAGCGGGCAGCATCTCCAGCGGCTCACAGGAAGCGCCTTCTGGGGGCCCTTATCGCGATCGTTGTTATCGGCGGCAGCATCGAGAAAATGGCCAGCAAGTCAGCAGTTGCGATCCTCGATCCGGCTTAATATTCAATTTGTGCAAGAGTTTGTCGAATCGACGAGACTCTGGCTGCCATGTATTTGTATATTGAAAAATGCCTCCAATCCGCTGGCGGCTTAACAAGTCGTTTTCCACTGCCCCCCCCTGCCAGTTTTTCCTTGGTTTCCAGATGCCAAAATCCTGGCTCCTAGGCCTAGGAAGCATCACTTGCTGCAGGGAGAGAAATAAGAAAGAAGTTTAATTAAGATTAATTGGTATAAGATTCAAAACAGTTGCCTATTATTAATATTTAAAATGTATATACATTTTTGATATATATTTATATAAGGTACAGCAGTAAATAACATTTTTCGATGAGAAAGTAAACCTTTCCCTTTCTTTCTTATAGTTTTTCACACTTTTAACTTAAATGGTTGTGACACTTCGAATACATTCTAAACAACTTCCCAATTGTTAGCTTGTTAGCTTCTTTATCGTGGAATTTGATCCTTCTTTTTTCACTAGTCTCTTGTTTTATTTTATAACATACAAAACTATGAAATATTAATCCATATTTCCTTATACTTTTTCGGATCAGTGTTGACTTCAAGCAATCAACGTCTGAAGGCAGGCACGTAGCTTGGCTTCCGCGCCGCGCAACTTGTTGCTGTAACACTTCATTTATTTTGATAACCATAAGATTGCCAATAAAAATTGCCAGACTCCAGCTCCAGCTCTAGGCCTACTCCTGGAACCTGCAACCTGCTCAACCCTTAGCCTGTTCCCACTTGATTGAAATTGCAACTGACTGGGAAGGAGGTGAGATACTGGGTTACCGGCGGCTGTCTCTCGACCAGATTTGAAACGCATTTCCATTTTGGCGGTCAGTGTCAGTGGAAGGAGCTCACCGAAGTTGACAACTGATACGATACGGTTCAGGGCCAAGTGAGGATTAAGCCAGAAGTTGAATCCCAAGTTCAAGTTTAACTTTCAAGAGGTAACCTTTACAAAGAGCAGAGAAATACTCTTTCATTCTTTCAATAAGATTCTCTAGAACTCTCTACTTAATTATCCTTTGTCTCCCTTTCACCATCTTAAGTTAGCACTTTAGTCATTACCACAAATCACTAAAGCCAAGCGTGTAACTGTTCTGGGGATTTTGGCCAAGTGACATGGTCGTAAGATAACGTTTATGTATGATATTTCGAAGCCTCTGCCTTTTAAGGCCTTAAGCTTATCCAGGAGACTTGCCCTGCCCATGGCCTGCAGCTGTGTCAATGCCTGGGGCATTGTTTGCTTTTCTTTTACTTTTCTTTTTGTTCTTTTCAGAGGACCCCTTCACCCACTGACTGTGACTCTGACTCTGGCTGAGATCATCGTTGGCAATTTTTCAGTCACTGATTGCTGGTCGCTTCTTGGCTCGTTCACTTCGTGTGACTTAGTTTTCTGCACGAGGTCATCATTTTCCGCCGCCTTTCTGCGGTTTGGTTTGGTTTGGGTTCGGGGTCCCGCCCGCAACTACACGGCAACGACTGTCTATCTACGTATCTTTCTATCTGACTGGCTTGGGGTTTTCCAACTAGCCAAGTATCTGGTTCTGAGTCTCTGTCTTTCTGTCTTTGAAATGTTTGTCTTGCCTCGTTTTGTGTCTTTTGCTGGGCATTTTTATCTATTTTGCCGCGCACGTCGGGGTCACATTAACGGTGCTTTCTCAACGCTCGAGTTCTGCAATTTGATTTCCTTAACTTGGCCTATACCTGCTGAGTGCAGTGAGAGAAAAATTAGAGTATTTTCGACAAATATTAGAGGTTAAAGATCATTTGTGGATGTGGAGAGGCTGCAAATAAAATCTATAGATGGGTTAGCCTAATGTTAGCTCTATTTATTTCATACTGTTTAATACATTTATAATGGTTTATATAGTTTCTGTTCATTAGAATGATTAATTAAATAATTCTCTATTCCTTTACAATTTATTAATATTATGTTTCACTTTTAAACATTTGTAGTTACTTTATCTATTACCTTTTTTAGTTAAAGGTTATATTATCTTTAAAATCTAATAATATATTCATGATCATTTGAATGATTAAATATATAATTTAACATATTGATCCCACTCACTCTCATTATATAAACTTTATAATATTTATAACTTCTCTAATACCAACATTATTACATCTTTTCAACTACTATTTTATTTCCAGTGTTTAGGGTTAGCTAAGGTCTCTGCTGTTTGTTATTTTTCACTGTTCCGCCATCGGGCCCGTGATCTTCTTCTGGTTCTTTGTCATCCCAGGCAAAAGCAAAACAATTAAAGTCATAAAAATTGTGGCCAAAGATTTGCAATTGTTAATGCGGTAAGCACTTGTTGCTCTCGAAACTCGAGGGAACTCTGGGGAACTCTTAGTAATTTCATTGTGCGGTTATACAATCTGCGATGGATGACTGTGACAGCATGCGAAAGAAGTTTGGCTTTGGGGATTCTAATAAATAATGGATAACAATTGCCGACTTGGGACTGGGAGCACTTTGATAGATTCAAGTCATTTATCATGTTTATAAAGTACCAGAGATCAGGGTTTTGTTAAGAAATATAGTTTAAGCAGAATTTGTAATACTAAAGTTTATTTTTAAGACAATTTCCGTTTGTATTTCACACTATATCTCGAAACCCAATTCTAAAAACCACTTTACATACGCATACCTTGTGCCACATCCTCAAATATATTCAAACTTGTGTAATGCTTTGAATTAAAATGTAAATCATTTTGAAACGGCCACTAACCTGAGTTAATTCATTGCAAATTATTGAAATTCTTCTCGGATTTCGCTTTCGAAACCGGCAGTAGGAGCAGGTCTCAGAGTCCGAAGATGGCCAGAATCAGAGGAACCTGAGACCGAGACCGACCGAGTGTAACTTGTTATTTGCAGTAATTAATTTTCAAGCAAAAGTGCTAATTAATTCCGAGAGCAGAGCGGAGCAAATGCCAGATGAGAAGGCGTTGGGAAGCATAGCGCAAATTGTAGACCAACATCCGTCTTTTGCAGGCTGAGTGTGTTGGCAATTAACAACCAAAGCCAGAGACAGAGACAGAGACAGAGTCAGAGCCAGGCCGAAACTGTGGCTTTGGCTAAGGCAATTTCCTATGAATTTCAAAGAAGAAGATCGCTCTACAGGAAACTTACATAACTGTTTGAGCTGTGAGTATGCGGCGATTCTTTTGTAGATCAACTCTACGCCAAACTGACGCAATGTCCACCTAGACAGACCGACGAACTGACCATCTGCCGTTTCCAGTTTGGAAGGAGCAGGAGGAGGAAGGAGGAGGACTGAGCCAATAGTAACGCCTACCAATACCTTTAATTATAGTGCCCGTCCCCGCCATGAATCGCGACCATGGGCCGTCCAAACATGACGCACGTATAGAAAACATATTTCAAACTAAACAAACTCATCAGAAAAGAAGGGAAGAAAAAAAACAAAAAAGAGGAAACTCTGCAAAAGGAAAACCCGCTGGGACGCGCGTGCAAAATTAAAAGTAAAGCGAGAAAAATGTAGACAACGCGTCAGGCGTGGCCAGCCCCAGAAGAGAACTTGGTGGAACTCTGGCAGATCCAAAAGTGTCTGTCCATTCTGATTAGCTACACACACAAACACACACACACACACAACACAATCCACCATGCTTCAAGGTCACTTAACACCACCTGGATGACGTCATCTCTTCGAGATCAGGTGAGGTCATAGGCTTTGCAGGTGGAGAAAAACAAAAACTTTCTTAGACAATCTAGCAAAGAATACAATTTCTTTTAAAAGATTTTGTAGCTAATAAATATTTTGTTAGGCGGCTCAATCAATTGAAGACATACATAGTTACACTGGAAAATAAAATGATTAAAAAGTATTAGGGAGTATTGTCAACGTTCTGCAAGAAAAGTTGTGGAGCCAAAGGAAGACTTTGCAGGGTATTCTAATTTCAGTCAGAAGCTTATTCTTGATCAGCATAAAAAACGGAATAGTTCTGACCATATTTGGTGGAAAAACATTTTTTAAAATTTTTTTTCAAAATTTTATTGTTAAATTATACATGTTAACAATGTCAAAATTTGACAAAAATTTAAATTCGTTAAATTTAATAACTAAGTATGCATATTTGTTAACCTAATCAAAACTAACATAAAACAACTTTCCGAAATAAAATTAATGCTTTTTTGGCTTAGTTATGACATTTAAACCATTTGATGTATAGATAAAATTGTTCTATAAAATATAGATAAATATCGACACAACGAATGGTATTATAATTTCAGTCCGAAGCTTATAAAACAGTGAAGGAGTCTATTTCGACCCTGTAAATCATATATATTCTTTATCAGCATAAACAGCTGAATCGATCTAGCCATGATTCGTAAAAAAAAAATTTTTGAAATTTTTTTTTTACAAAATTTTGTCTTTAAATTTGACATGTTACCAATGTGAAAATTTGGCAAAAATTTAATTTCATTATAATTAAAAACTCAGAATGCAGATTTGTTAATCTAATAAAAACTAGCAAAGAACAACTTTCCGAATCAAAATTAATGCATTTTTGACTTAGTTATGATAGATTGCATGTACGAACCAAAGAACCTATGACTTATTTCAAAGATATATTGGGATATAGGTTTCCCAAACTTGGTTTCTTTCTTGTTAATAATAACAATACTATATAAAGGTAGCTAGTAATTGGATATATATATTTCTAAAAATGTTTTATAAACTTAATCTTTATCAAAGCTTTTCTTTCCAGTGTACCACAACGTGTAGCTAATTTGTCAGACCTTTCTTATATGGCTTAGGCTCTATAAGAACTGACAAAGCGAAGGCTTGATGATTATAATGCCAATGCCCACGCTGGCCACCATTTGTTAATGCATATTTTATTCTGGTTTAGCGCCTCATCAAATTTCTAATTTATGGGCCGAAGCTCTCTCAGGCTTGGGGTTTTTTTTGAGCAATTGAATGGCCCGTTGGCAATTTAGCAATTATAAGATGATTAATTTTTGTGCATTTTCTCAACACCTTCCACTTAGCGGCCGCTAACTAAACCTGAAGCCGGCTAAAAGGCAAACTCGAGAGCTGAAAATGAATCTGAACAGAGAGAGAAGATTCAAGCTGGGAGCTGAAAGCTGAGGAAGATGCGGAAAATGCGGGCTGAGGGCCAGGCGTTAAAGCCCAACTACTGTCGATTAAAGTGCCGCTGCCCCGTTGCCGTGTAGGGTATCATTAGGCCAGACAAAACAATTTAAAATAACTACAGCAACTAGCATAATAATGTTGGGACGAGGAAGAAGATGCGACCGCATAGCCCATAGACAATTTTCGTAATGGACAGAAATAAATCTGGAAAGCAGAAGCAAAAGCAGCTGCAGCAGCGCTCAGGTCTCTGGGAAACCGAGTCTCTGAGCAACTACCGAACGCCGAGCACAACTTAATTAATAAACTAATGAGCAGTTTGCGGCCAAGAAATCCCCCCGGAACCCGATCCCAATAGCCTCTAGTCCATCTCTCCAGATTATCTACATAAAGTAGAGACGTGCATCGTGGCCGGATAAGCTGAGGCTGAGGCTGAAGCCCAGCCTATTTGCTAAGAGATCAGCCAGAAATTAAAATAAATGTGCAACGTGCAAAAATGCCCAAGATAATCCCAACGGAAAGTAAAACTGGAACGTGTTCAGCGACCAAAACAAAAAAAAAAAACAAGCTACAAAAACCCAAACGAAACAAAAAGTAAAAAGCGCACCAAAAAAACTGATTTATGCATATGAGAATGACACGGACTGTACGTGTTTAATTCATTGGGGTGATGACTGGGTTAAGTAATAGTTAAAAAAAAGCAACTTTGATATATTATAATATTAATAAATATGAAAAGTATATTCAAATATATACTTATTATTTTTTAACATCAACTGTGAAGTTTGCCTTGGATTTAGTATAAATAGTTACCGGAAAAAACCCTTATTAATACATCTTAAAGTAAAATAATTTAATAGCTTTTTCAGTGATAATTTGTACCTATTAAAAATAAACATAAATCATTGAAACATAAATTTCTGAATAATAAGAAAATGCTTAATAATTAAATATGCAAAAATTTCTAAAGGAAACCACAGTATAAACTTGGAGCTTGCAGCTGTAAATACATTTAAAAATATTTCCTAATAAACATTTAACGTACTAATCCCATGTTTAATGGTCGTAAATATGATTTAACATTAGAAAATACCTTCCCTTGTCTTTTATGTCCAGGCTGTAAAGTATTTTTTTCTTATTTTTTACAAAGCTTTTCACACTTTTCGCCCGTCGGGCCATAAAACGTACAGAACTGCATTCCATTTGAGGTAAGAAAAAAACTATCTTCTAATGGATTTTATGCAGCTAAATCCTTCTCAAGCTTTAGCTTTATGCGATCTAATAAACTGCTTTTGTCTGCAGACAAATATATTTCTGAGCCCGGCCTAAACACTCGTAATTACGAAGCCATTTATTCAGGAGGCATCAACAGTCACAGGCGGCAAACAGAGACAAATGAGATTAAGCTGGGGCCAAAAATAAAAGTGAGCTCTGACACGACCAGGGTTAAGAAAAAATAATGCTGCAGGTTCTGGCCGTAAATCATTTTGTTTTCACTCTTGTTGCTGCCGCAGTTTAATTATCACGAGTTGAGATTTCGTCTGTCCCAGGCAGCTCGTAAATTGTGGCGCGAACAAGACAAGAGAACATAGTACATACTACATACTACATTCAGCGGCCCTTAGCAAATTGAAAAAGAGTTGAAAAACTATTCAAATCAATGAAAACTGATAGCCCCAAGGGCCGCGACCATGGCCAAGTCATGATTAACATGGGCTTAGTCCTAGACCTAACTATAACCAGGGTACTTGCCCAGGCACTGTAAGAAAATTGGTAGAAGCTTTACCTGGTAATAAGTGTTCCAAGTTGATCTTGAAACATATTAGCAAATGAGTTTGGGAAGTAAAGAAATCCTATAGTAATGTAATAGGTATATATTATACCTTTAAAACCTTAATTATTAAGTCATTTCTCCTTTAGTCCAAGACCTAACTATAACCAGGGTACTTGTCCAGGCACTGTAAGAAAATTGGTAGGAGCTTTACCAAGTTGATCTTGAAACATATAAGCAAATGAGTTTAGGAAGAAGAGAAATCGTATAGTAATGTAATAGGTATATATTATACCTTTTAAACCTTAATTAAAAAGATATTTCTCTAACTGCATCTTTGGGATTGCTCCAAAGATGGCACCATGTACCATTTAAGCGACATGCCAACACTTGACCAGGGCCTAGACCAGAGTCAGGGGAACCTCTCCCATCTCCAGTGTGGTATATGGTACCTGCAAAACCTGGCGAAATGTATCATTAACAAGTCACGACAAATTCGCTGGCTTGGGGCTGGATCGGACATTTGAAAAGCTACGAGCAGGGCCAAATTTGGTAAGACCTCGACACCCGACATTAGATAGAATAAAAACCGCGACTCTCCTGGACTGTGGTGAATCTTGTATCAAGTGCCTGGCACAGGGACAGGTTGGAGATTGCGCCGCCGGCGGTGGCTTTGAACGGAACGAGGGACCCACCGCCGTTTAGGTGTGAAAAAATCTAAAATGCAAACACCACAAAAAGAGAAAACACACTGCTGGTCTGCAATGGCAGTCCATTTGTAGTTGCTCCCCTGGGCGCTGCCGAAAACGCCAAACTGAGCCACAGATTGAAACGAAAAGCGAGCCAGAGGATGTGCGTCCATGTCCAGGAACCACCTCAATCCCCCAACAGTCCAACAGTCCAACATGAATTATTTATTTCGATTGTCTGATGCAGCTCGGAGAGTATTATTTTTAGAGGGTCCAACAAACCAAGGCCCCCTTATAAAGTCTAGAAATTTATGATCGGCGGCCGGGAGCCGTTCAAATTATCGCAGGGCATGCAAAATTTATTAACAAACATAAAAATTGCTCGAGAATTTATTTCATCTTAATTCAATTTAACAACTTAAACAGCCATAAAGTGTTCACATAGTAAATCAATGGCCACTCTATGCAGATGCGTTGCCCAGACCCAGTCCCAGCCCCTAGTGCTGTCCACATGCATCATCATCATAATCATAATCAAGGTGCCCGGGCTAGAGCTGTGTTATGTTATGGATTCCCCCCTCTCTGTTGCCACAATTTATGAGCTGCGCATGAAAATGAGTCAAAACAAATTATGCCGCCGCTTCCAGGACATGGCTTGATTGACAGGGCAACCGAATGGAGTTCGTCTTTTGGTTAAGAAGAAGCAACGATTATGATGTTGAACGCTGCCAAAAAGATTTCCATCAGCGGCAACAATTTCAAGGCATTAATCACGAACGTCAAGTATGAGTATGAGTATGAATATGAGTATGAATACGAGTACGAGGGTGGGTCCCATGTTCTCCCCAAATACCTGAATCACAGCAGCCCCAGGAATGTTTCCCAGTTTTTGATAAGAATCTTCAGCCCGAAAGGATTACTAGCAAACATAAATCATAAAAAGGAATGCTAAACAAATTATAAATACTTTACATTTAAGTAAGTCAAAGTTCATGAATTTTATTGGATGGGATGAGAAGGCTTTTCAATAATTTAGAATAATTTAGGAATGATAACTCATGATCTAACTCTGACAGTAGCAACCATCGGAGGTATTCTTTTCAATCCAATCCAAGAACTTGCTAACCCTGGCATAGACCCCAGGGGCATTCTTCTGGGCACAGCCATAGCCAAAGGATACCACACCGGCGAGCTTGTAGCGACCCTCATTGACAATGAGGGGACCACCACTGTCACCCTGGCAGGCATCCTTGCCACCCTGCTGGACCAGACCAGCGCACAGCATCACCTCGGCGATCTTATCCTTGTAACGAGTTTGACGACACTGCTGATTGGTGATCACTGGCACATTAACCTCCTGCAAATAGTTGGAGGTGACGCCACCCTCCTTGATCAGACCCCAGCCAGCCACCACAGCCTATGAGCAGATTAAATAATTCATTAATTAATTAATTAATTAACAAATAAAATGTAACTTTACCGTCTTGCCATCAAAGTTATGATTAGCCTGGGGCAGACACACAGGACGCATGTTTCCAGTCAATGGAACCGGTGACTCCAACTTCAACAAAGCCACATCATTGACAATGCGATTGGGATCATAGTTTGGATGAATGGTGGTCTTCACCACCTTCCTGACAATACCAGGATCCGAGAGGATCTATCGATCTGCAGCAACCTAATGGTAATCTGATCCCTATTGCCATGAACACAATGGGCTGCAGTCAGGACATAACGATCATTGATCAGGGAGCCACCGCAGAAGAGTCTGGGATAGTGACGACCCTTGACCAGCTGAGCGGTCCAAGGATATTTGTTGGATCGCACCTGCTGGCCACCCACAATACGATTCACATTCGGGGTACCACAGACTGGCAAGAGAAAATATATATGAGAGTTTTCCTTTGGGGTTTCCTCCTGACTTTTACTCACAGCAATTCTGCTTGGTGTTGCACTGATTGCGTTTCTTATTTGGACGCACTGCCTTAAGGGCCTCCTCTGCAGGATCCACCACATCGATGACATCCGCAAATTGCTGGGCAAGAGTCTGTTGATGGGGAGCCTGGTATTGATATTGGGCCAGGGCCAAAGTGCAGCCCAGCAGCAGAAGGAGCGGCAGGGCCAGGTAGCTACGCATCTTGTCCAGAGTTGGCTTCGGAGGAAAGTGACAGAGCGTTTTGAAAAACGCTGGCTACTTATAGGGTCCCAATACGGAGATGGAGATCAAGATCAAGATCGAGATCGAGTTCGAGTTGGGCTTTTTTTAATAAAACTAAAAATATGAATGTTTTATTGCGTGCGCTTCTTTCTTTCTTTCTCCCCTTTCTTTTTCTTTTTTTGTTATTTCTCCGCTTTCTTTGTTTGATGCCTTATTTGCATAACACTTTATAGCGCCGCACACACGCTTATCTTTGCGATTCTCAAGTTGATTTTTGTATTTTTGGCTCCGTACAAATCATCATTTTCATCGAGAACAACTTGTGCCGAAAAGTGCAAATAAACTTTTTAATATCATTTTAACAATAACCAGGCAGGCTTTTAAGTGTTTAATGCCTGGGAAACTGGGTTATTGATGAGGGAGTTACACTGAGAGCAGCTTAAAACAATTTGTTCACCAAATGATCAAATCATTCGGTGATTTGTGTTTAATTATTATTACTATATTCTAAATACTCTAATTTTAAAAGAGTTTGAAGAACAAATGTCATGTAAGCAGGGGGAATATATAAAAAAAAACCTAGTCCTGATATATACAAAAATATAGAGCATATAATTTGATATATTAATTTAATTACTAACTAATATAACAAGTGCTGGATTGAGGCACAAAACGATAAATGAATCATTATCAGAAGTATCTAATTCTTAAATGATAATTTATATTCACATTGAAACAAGTTTTATAATATCCCAACTTCTTAATAACCAAAAGAGTATTGCAAATTCGTTAAACATTTCTTAAATTTTCCGCACTGGCTTTGCATATTCATGAAAGTGGAGCAAACTTAAGCGAGTTCACCACTTTTCTGCCAACCACCCGTTGCTTTTTTAATGGACTTTTAATGCGACTTCGAAGGGGCTTAGACAGCGTCTTTCTGACCCAGCGAGATCTGGCCAAAAAAGAATAATAAAAAAACCTGGCTACAGAATGGAATCTTTTCCCCTCTTGACTCTTTGCTCCTTGGCAATCTGGCTTGCATTGCAGCATAAATATCCTTTAAGTGCCGGTTATCCGGTATCATCATTAACCGGAGGCAAACGCCCGCTTTCACGCTGGAAGGAGCTCCCTCTCAGCCACCAGATGGTGGAATAATTTATAAGGCTTTGGTGATCGGAGGAGGCCAACCTGGTATTTGGTGGCTTTTTGGCATAATTTACAAAAACGCAACCAGAACCAGGGGGACAAGTTATTATTCCTCCAGCTTCTGCCGCCTGTCCTTCGATCATATTTCTTTTGCATGGAATGTCGCGGTCGTCGCCTACCTCTCTTCGAAATTGATTCGCCTGGGGGCCACAGTTTCTTACATCCAAAATAAGGAGTATATAAATATAAATTAATAAAAGCAACGCGTTGATAAATCGCGTGCACTTGGAAATTATGCAACATGTGGCACTTGCTGGCTTCACATGCAACAGTTTTGAACAAGAACAGAATGGGGTAAAAGGGATATTTAAGAATTGAGAGTTGAATACTTTATTGAAAATGGTTTCCAATTACAGATAATGTTTTCAAAATCTATGTTTTTTGTCCCTGGGTACCCAGGATATCCATAGTATCCTGGGTAGCCTCTTCTTAAACGCAAATAAGGGAGCTACTTTCAATATCGAATTTAAAGTTAAGGTTATACTTCTTAAACGCAAATAAGGGAGCTACGTTTAATATCCAATATTTAGTTAAGGTTATGCTATTGAATTGGACTCTTTACAACCAATTTAGCATCCAAATATCCATGGCAGAAGATAATAAAAGGAAGTGGGAAAACCCAATCTCAAGACAAACATATCCTTCCTATCCTATATCCCTTGATATCATTCCCGTCCCCTTAATATAACTCTTCCAACTTTTGTGGTATACCCCTTAATATAAACATTCGTAGATATGTTTTCGTTTTATTTTGTTTTTGTTTTTTTCTTCAGCTTCCCCACATAAATAACTTTTACTCTTACGCAAAAAAAACCTTAAACATATGCAAATGTAGGCAATCCAGTTTCAGTGTTTTTAGAAATTTGTCTATTTCCATTTTGTAAAGTTATTCAATAAATTTCTTAATTTGGCAAGTGGCAGAAACGTGAGCCAGACTCATTTGTTAATGGCACAACTTAATCATAGAAAGCATCAGAGATATGCAAATAAGTCTGCATTGTTAAATGCAACTTAGCCTAATTGTTGCACTTGTAATTGTAATTGCCCCAAAAGAACAATGGGAAAAAAAAGATCGCTGAGCAGAGACAAGACTTTAAGAGATTTCAGCTTGGTCATTATGTTTTCAGCAGGCGGAATTCAAGAATTTATCTCCCCCCATAGAACTCGGTGGGCGGGGCTGAGTGACAAACACGCAGAAGTTGGAAAATTCCACATATGGTAGGTATGTGTGGATTCCACTTCCATAGATCATTGAACTGAAAGTTCTCTCTGTGCTAAGTCGGGGTGGATGCCAAACTATAACACAATTTAGAAAGGTTGAATGGCATGCCATTCACTCTGCTGGCTTCACATCGCCCGGTGGCAGTTGCCCGTCAGAAGTCACTCAGTCAGTCACTCATAAATTTGCATAAGAACTGAATTGCATTGCATTATCTAAGCGGCAGTTGCATCTGTTTGCTGCATGTTGCAGTTGCAGTTGCAGTTTGCTGCACTTATCTCAGTCTCAGTGGTAGAAACAATCATAGCAAAAGGCAAAGATTTTAATTATTGTGTGTGACGGCGACGACGACTCCAACCGAGAACTAAACACAGAAAGATGTAGAGTGAGAAAATGAGAGCCTAGAATTGGTTTTACACAAGGAGAAATCATTTGAAAATGTTAATTACACATGAAATATTAAAAATATGAACATTAGTTGAAGTAAAAAGTTGTTTAAGAGAGGTCTTATGAGATATGCGTTGGATTCTGATTTAGAGGATCAAAAATCATGAAGATCAAGACAGTTATGTTACCTTAAGTCTCGAATGATGTAGTTTCAAAACTAATTTGTTTGAATTTTTTAAATTTCTAATATTAATTTCTTACCCCTATTTCTTAAAGTATATCCTAGACAGACGGAAATCTGTATTTGACTTCTCCAGTCTCGGTCTGTTCTATGTCTCTGCCTCTATGGTGACTTGGCCTGATGTGCTGCATTTGATAACTTGCCAGCAATGAAGTCTTAGGCCCTTAGATAATGAAAAGGAAGCGAATCTTGAGCCCGGTGCACTGTAATTCAAATTAGTAGAAGCACGAAAAAAAAGAGGAGAACTTTGGAGCGGAGGAGTGGATGGCCAGACTTGTCTTTAGCTACCGGAGAATCACTGGGCTCCTGCAGTGCCAACTGGCAACATCTTCTTCCTCAATGACATTAATTCATTTCGTATGCAAAGCAATCAGTGAACTCCTCTCCTCTCCTCTCCTCTCAGAACTACGACCAACGTCTTGGCAATTAGAAAAGAGTTGGAAAATTGTATGCGGCTCCAGCTTGGACTCGGCATTCGTCTCTATCTCGGAGACTGGTCTAGTCTAGGTCTGAGTTTTCCGACTGGCACTGGCACTGGCACTGCGCACTGATTTGCATTGCACGATTCTCAACTTAATTTAACATAAAGTAAACAAGCGCAGTTAACAAGCCAAACACAAGCCATGAGCGTGCGGGTGCCGGCCGCAGCATCATCATCTCCTGCTCCAGCTTTTGGACCCCAATCCCAGCTCTCTCTCAGCTCCATCTGCATTTTCCAATCCCAATCCCTCAGCCTTTAGTCTCAGTCTCGGCCTGCCAAGGGCTAACCATGCATGCCGAGTTGCTGTCGTGTGACGTGTTGTGAAAATTCTAAAATATTTCGCCCTGCCGGCCTGGCTTTCTCACAAGTCAACGCCACAGCGAGACACTTTGAAAGCGGACAGTGGTCAGGATCTTAAGGAAAAATGCAATGAAAATTAAATCGAGACTCGACATCATTTTGCCTTTTCGTAAGCCTTGATGCTGATCTGTTTTTAAACATTTTCGAATAAAAAAAACACAAAATTTTCTGCACAAAAGAGTTCATAAGAAATACGTTTTCAAAACATAAAATTCATTTTATTACAATGGGAATATAGCACATCATCGTCGGATAATCCGAGATATGTCTCCTTTTTTAAGGCCAAAAGATTGACTTTTAGGTTTTAGTTGGCTTCTTTCCGTTAACAGTAATATTAGCCGTGAGATTATTAGTAATATTTATCGCTCCTCCACTTCCACTCCCACCTTTACCTTTCCCACCTTTACCATTCCCACCTTTACCATTTCCACCTCCATCACTTCCATTTCCACCATTTGCACCTTCACCATTTCCTTTTCCATTTGAATTTGGATTTCCACCATCGCTTCCTTTTCCACCACCATTTCCATTACCATTTCCATTTCCACCGCCATTTCCATTTCCATTTCCACCGCCATTTCCATTTCCTTTTCCACCGCCATTTCCATTTCCTCCACTTCCATTTCCAACACTTCCATTTCCACCACTTCCATTGCCATTTCCATTTCCTCCACTTCCATCGCCATTTCCATTTCCAGACCCGCAGGCCGGGCAAGATGTGGATGTAGGAAGATAAGCAAAGGGGGGAAATGGATTATATGGAGACCGTTTTACAATCTTACGGATAACCTTTACACTACTGAAACATTGCTGTCGATCTTGTGTTTCCGTCTTTACAAAAATATAATAGTTAGAAGTTTGCAAATAAAAAAAATATGATCAAATTAATCTCACCGAATCTTGTCCTCGTCCCTTCCTACATCCATTTTCCATTTTCCATTTTCCATTTCTTCACTTCCATTTCCATTCCAATTTCCATTGCCATTTCCATTGCCCATTCCTTTTCCTTTTCCATTTGCTTTTCCATTTCCTTTTCCATTTCCATTTCCTTTTCCATTTCCTTTTCCTTTTCCATTTCCTTTTCCATTTCCATTTCCATTTCCTTTTCCATTTTCTTTTCTTTTTCCGTTCCCATTTCCATTGCCATTTCCATGCCAATTTTCATTGCCATTTCCACTCCAATTTACATTGCCATTTCCTTCACTTCCAAGTCGTTTTCCATTCCCACTTCCTACATTTCCATTGCCATTTCCATTTCCTTTTCCATTTTCTTTTCTTTTTCCGTTCCCATTCCCATTTCCATTGCCATTTCCATTCCAATTTTCATTGCCATTTCCATTCCAATTTTCATTGCCATTTCCATAGCCATTTCCATTGCCATTTCCATTCCAATTTACATTGCCATTTCCTTCACTTCCATGTCCTTTTCCATTCCCACTTCCATGACCATTTCCAACATTTCCATTGCCATTTCCATTTCCAGATCCAGAATCGGGAGGATACAGAGAACATTGTGCTCCTGGTGGACAGAACCAGACGATCGGTGCAGGTGTCATTTGGGTGACAACAGGAAGATAAGCAAAGGCGGGAAAGGGTTGATATGGAGACCGTTTTTCAATCTTATGGCATCCCTTTACACTATTGGCACATGGCTGCTGATCTTGAGACTCCCTCTTTAAGAACATTCTAGTTAAAAGTTTGAAACAAAAAATTGTGTAATCAAGAAAATCTCACCAATCCTTGCCCTGGCACTAGGAAAATAATTCCTATTAAAATTGTGTACCATATCCACATCTTGTCTGTACTCTAAAAACTGTGAAGCAACTCAGAACTTATATATTATAAATATAAGCTAATTGATTTGACTCGCATTTCGCAGAGAACCAATGGATTAGTTTTAAAGACAGCAAAATGAAACGAGATTATTCTGCAGTTATATAATGATATATAACCTTTCAAGTATAAGTTAACCTTTATATGATATCATCAGATCTCAAACATTATAAGAGCTAATGCTTTGGAAACCAATCAAATCACAGTTGATCCCATTTGCTTATATTAAAAATCAATTCAATATAATTTAGATGCTGACACTTCAATAAATATATATTTCGCTTTCTAGGATATTATAAAAGAAGCTGTGCTGCATTCTCAACCTCCACAATAAATAATATTTATTTTAAGGTCTACGAGTTGAGTCGACATTAACCTTAACATCCTGAATGATCATTACCTCTGGCTTCCCATTAATGTTGACGCGTCCTCCCGGTGGCGCAGTTATAATTTTTGGAGTTTTTGAATCATTTTCCAATTCTACCATTGGAACTATGACGCTCGTTTGGTTGGTAAAAACGCACTTCAGTTGCTTTTGCTTTTCCAATTTTCCACTTGGAAGTAGCACATATTCCTCGATGGGCGTACAAGTTGCATGTTGTTGTTCAGGTTTTGGGGCAATCGGTGGGGGATGTATATGTATTTCCTCGATAACATTTGGCTGTGTTAACATACAGTGATCTAGCATATGTAAAACATAACACAGTTTTTCTTTCCAAATCTCTGTGATCAAACCGAATGTTCGGAACTTAGCTTTCCCATCATTTGACGCACTAAAATTTATGCAACTCTTTGCAAACTTGGTATCATTAAGGAGTGTTTTTAGAAAATTGTACCGGACATATGCATTCACGAGCGTTGAAAAATCAAATATTTCGTCTTGAAATTCTTTTACGTCGATAACTGTAAAATTGGGAAGTATATGAATATCCAAAACGAATATAATATTTACCCTCCATACCTAATGGTTCTTTGATCATGCTTTAAAAGAGAATTTTTTAATGAATCATAAGCAGAATCAACTTTTTAAAAACATACCCATCATAACACTTAAGTGTTCCATAGTAATCGTCGATTTCTCGAAATAACTTTTCAATAAACGATTTAAAAAATTTGTTCACAATGAAAAGTTAAAAAAAAAAAAAAAACGATTACTTACATTGGTAATGTTTTCCTCATGTGCCTGAATACGTGGCACTAAAAGAATTAAAAATATGATATAGTTCCACTGCCTCATTTCACGTGTGCTGTCAAAACAGTAGTGAACTCTTAAAAAGTATTTTGTGCTGAGGAAAATTCAATTTAATAATTGATTTTTAATGGACTTAATGCCAGAACGAAATCGTTACGACATACTAGACCTGACATATAAGGCTTAATACCTACAACTCCCCGACCCTCCGCTTCTTAACGAATTCATTTTTATAAGTCAAAAGTATAAGATCAAATAAAAAATGTCGATTTTTTTTGCTAAAGCTTTTTATTTTAAATTGTTAACATATTTAATAATATCCATTTTTCGATCTTTGGTTGTTATTCATCGCTTGGATAGTTAATATTTACATTTGCGGTGAGATTGTTAACAATATCCATTCTAGGCTGCATATGTCCCAGTAGAATAATTAAGAACATCATATAGTTCCACCTTCCCATTTCGTATGTCTTACTTGAACTGCAGTGATCCATTAAGAAGAATTTTTTTGCTAGAGAAATTGTAATTTTATAGTTGACTTTAAAAGGATTTATTACCAGAACGAACTAATTACACTGACTAGACTATATAATTTTTAAGATGCGTAACGCTCATAGCTCTCCCCGAGCCCGAACCAATCGAACTCAATAAAGATAGTATTGGAATTTTTTGCTAGGGATGATTAATTTTAATAGTGAACATAAGGTATTCCTAATATTTATATTCGCTTTCAGAGTTTAAAGGCTGCATCATTAAAAAACTTGTATATTTCTCAACGTTATTTTCAATATTTGAGCATTCCTTCGCCAGTTTTTGACTGTGCAAATAGTGTTTCAATATCTTCAACTTGACGTTTACCATCGGCAGTAAGGTGGAGTCATCTATAACGTTCGTACGGCTTGCTGTAACAAATATTTAAGACATCTTCTAACAGTTTATGGTATTTATATTTACCATTTAGAATTTTCGTCTCATACCTTTCTCTTTAAAACAAATAATCAGTTATTTATTAGGGAGTTAGTTCAATTCTCAAACAAACCTTTTGGCGGGGCATAATGAATAATGATTCATCAAAGCTTGATGATTTGATATTAACTCACTCAAATACTCATCGATTTCATCGAATAAAATTGAAGTTAAATCCGGGTCCAGCTTAAAAAGCGTTTTGATAATAATTTATATTGAAATAAAATGAAGTACTTTCTAACGATGGGTTGTCTACTTGCGCATTGATAGGTGACATCAGGAAAATCAAGAATATAATATTCTTCAATTTGCACATATCAATGGTGTTTCACGAATAAAACTAAAGAAGTGAAAAGAAAACCTTTTCACTTTTAACGGCTTAAATATACTAGCCACAAGTGCTATACCAAAACAAAAGCATTTGTAACGGAAATTATTGGGTATTTATATTAATAATTGCATAGTTATTAGACAGATAGTTTTAAGGCATAAAGATTATAAATCGAAATCCATTTAACATATTAAAAATTGGATAATCAATTTTATTTTGATTAACTTTTCACTTGATCTTGAACCACTGTTCTCTAGCAATCTTGGCCTGAAGTTGAAGCTTCTTAGCTGAGGCATCGTGAAGAGTTTATTAAAAGCCATGACAACGGCGACTGTTCCTGCTTGTCCCTAGCACACCAAATCCTTTGTAAGGTAATTGCTCATTTGAGTTATAAACACGCACACACACGTCCCCCATATACATATATCCCCAGGTTTAAGCCACTTCCATATCCCCCGATCCCGATCCCGAGATGGCAATCGAGGCTACACCCAGAAAGGGCCACATCCCCGCTTTGCATGTCTAACAATTGTTCTTCTAATTGCGTTTATGGCCAGGCGAGAGAACTGGCTGGACGGAGTCCGCTCCAGGCAAAAGACCTCCAGATCCTCTAGAGCCCCGTCTCTCTCTCTCCCGGATGCCTTGTAAACGCAATCGGACAAGATAATCTCGGGATCTCGCAGCGTGCGCAATGATTTGCTGCATCAGGCCAGGCCAGGACCAGGACCAAAAGGGGTTTACCACATGGGATGGCCTTTCCCCCTTTCAGTGTCCTCCCACCGTGGCATGTGGCTAGCATTTGGGTGCAACAAATTGCCGCCACGCATCTGCCCCACACACACACACACAGAGAGAGAGAGAGAGAGACAGGGATGCTGAGTGGAATTGAGTTGAGTCCCTCAAATTGGCACTGAAGCATTGAGGGAGAAATGCCTTACATATCGCATTTATGGTCTGCTTATTAAGTGGTGTAACAAATTGACAGCTCCAAAGAGCCTCCAGAACAGTTTCACCATCAATTACCCAACAAACGATTCGCAGAACGAACACTCGACCATCGATATCCAAGGCAACACTTCATTAAAAGTAAAGAAGGTGTCCATGAGATATTGTGATAAGTCCTAAGACGAGGGTGTTACTTTTTCCCCATAGACAATCCGGTATTTGAAGGAGATTCAGACCATTGAGGTATGATTTTGTAATGCAGAAGTCAAATTGTTTCATTGTTGGGATCTATTGATCTCTTTTCCTGCTTACGGTGGAACTATTCACCTGAAAATAACATCTCTAATTCAATTTCCCACTCAAAAGTGAGCCTTTTCTATACCTATTGATATGCCTGTAAGCCAATATGTAGCGCATCATCATCATCGCATGCTCACCTATGAAAACCCTCGACAGTTCCCTAACCAAAGGTAAAGGCAGCAAATGGTTCGTGCAATGGCCAGTTATGGCTCCCAGGGCAAAAAATAGGCTCGCGTCAAATGCTGCATTGAACAAAATAACAAAAACAAAAAGATTTATAAACAAGAAAAGAAGCTAACTTCGAGGAACCAAAGTGTATATACTCTTGCAGTTAGTCATAGGATCTTAACTAAGCCAAAAATGCTTTAATCTCAAGTTGGAAATGCATTTCTGTGCCAGCTTTTATTAGGATACTAGCAATCATTGGCTTTACCTCTTTGAATACTTAAAAGAAATATCAAAAACATTTCTATTATAAGGATGTTAAAGCGATATTTTTTATATTCCAGTTTTTTTGGGAAAATCATGGTTTTCCAAATATCATAACTAAGCCAAAAATGCATTAATTTAAATTCGGAAAGCTGTTTTGTGTTAGTTTTTATTAGGTTAACAAATTTAACGAAATTAATTTTTAGCCAATTTTTGACATTGGTAATATGTATTAATTAGAACCAAAATTTTGAAAAAAAAATTTCTAAAAATTGTGTTCTATCAAACATGGCTAGATCGATCCGGCTATTGATGCTGATCAATAATATATATGGTTTATAGGGTCGGAAATGACTCCTTCACTTCGTTTTTAGCTTGTGACTGAAATTAAATTACCCTGAAGAGGGTATTATAATACTAATAATAATATTAATTTAATATAATATAATATGTATAATAATTATATTATAATAATGTAGCCAAAGTTGGATCTAAGGTTAGTGTCATTTTTGAAACTATCACATTAGGGTAAGAAATCAATGTTTGTGAATAATATATAATATATATAATATATATTTGGTGTCGAAGGGCAATCACTATCACTACTGCCACTATCACCATGTAAACAGAGGGAAGGCCACGCAAAGACTGAGGGCAGCGCGAAGGTAGTGCCTCTATTTATAGTCCCCGAGTAAAGAGAACAGAGAAAGTTAGAGCGAGAGAGAGAGAGAGAGAGCCATAGAGTCATACCTCTAGAGAGCAGCAGAGCTAGATATCAGTAGAGGCACATAGAGAGAGATAGGCATTATGGAAAAGATCTGTCTCTGAGAGAGAGAGAACAGAGATGAAGTTAGAGAATATTTAGAGAATAGATAAAATTAGATTTAGAGAAAATTAAATAATTTCTGATCGTTGCTGTAGCACCTTTGATGCTGATCAATAATATAACATATACACTTTATGTCGTTGAAAATCACTCCTTTATGGCGTTGCAAACTTTTTGATAAAATTATTATACCCTAGTAAGGGTATCGAAAAAAAGACAACGAATAGCCTGGAGATGTGAACCGCGGGCAACAATAACAATCTGAAGAAGACGGGCGACTGTGAGTGTGTGGAAAATTGAAGACGAGCTCGCGCGCTCTCTAATGATAACTGCTGGAACTTTAAAGGCGCGAGATTGTGGAAATTTTGCGACTGCCAGAGGAAGTCTACAAAGGTATAGAGCTCTGGAGCTTCGCAGTTCTAAGGCCTCTGAGAGACTGGGCAACGACAACAACGACAACGACGACGACAAGTGTCAAGTGAAGCTTAGATAAATTTCAAAAAGGGCAACAACCATGGGCCGGTCCATGAGGAGGAAGCTGGCGACGATTGACTAAGAGGAGATGCACTAAAAGAAAAGATTAAGGAAAGTTCTAAAATTCTCAAATTAAAACAAATTATTAAGAGCTCGTTTCCACACTGAAAGCTTAGTATCGTAAAGTTTCTCAACATATTTTAGTTAATTTTTGCAGGAATTCTCTCCTGTCTTAGGGATTTCTTCTTAGTGTAAAGTTTAAGTGTTTTGAAATGAAATGAAATGGCCAAGCGACGAAGGCCAGGCCTCACCTTGCCATGCCGCACAAGTAGCCAGGAGGCAAGGAGGCACGGAGGCAGTCACTCCATCCTCTAAGCCCCATTCCTGGTCCTCCTCAGCGAATCTTCTGAGTGGCATGCCATGACTGCCTCCGCTTCCTGCTTTGTTGTTGCTCGTTGTTGCTGCTGCTGCTGCTCGTATTTGAACTTCCAGACACGCTTTTGGCCCTTAACATTTTTGACCGTCATTTTGCCGATATAAATTCTTTAGCATCTCGTTGGAGGTTCTTTTCTTTCTTTCTGCCAAGAGATACAGATACTGGGGAAAGAGAGACAGAGAGGGATATCGCTTCGGGTTGCACTTTCTTCGTCGTGCCAGCAAAAGTGTAGATCAGCGCGAAATCTAATTTATGCAACGTACAAGAACATACAACATGTTGCACGATGATGAAAATGCGGCAGCCAGCCAACAATATTATATTTTTTTTTATAAAAAATAAAAAATAAAAAAGAAGAAGAACCAAAAGCCGCGGCAAGACAATCGAGCAGCGACAACAACGACGCATGTTTTATGACTCTCATTGTCATTTATGCAAATTAGACTCAGGTAGAGCTTGTGCTTCTGATGTTGCTGCAGGAGCAGAGTGCCCCAAGATGATACCGATGCCGGGATCCATGGCCACTTCTAAGCTATGGCGCAAATTTCCCACCAAACCCAGGCCTCGTGGCATGAACTTTTTTTTTTTGTGTCATGGCCTAGGATCTGGGAGCTAAGGCCCCTCCACTCTCAACTGAAGGACCCGATGATTATGAGCAACATGTTTTATGATATCTGGCGGTGATTTATTATCATTTGATTTAAAAAGCAGTGGACGGGACACACATCAATACATGTGGCTCTCTGTGAGCTCTTGGTCATAGCCAAGAAGGATGAGACATGGCGTTATTTATAGTTTTTGAGGCCGGGACCTTCGTCGAACACTGGTCACTGGTGGTCACTTGGGATGGGGTTTGCTCATGAGGAGGATGTGCTTGTGGCAGCATTTCATGCTTATTATAGAAATGTGCGCTTTTATGAGCCCCAGCCCAGCATGTTCAAGGGAAAGAGAGTATCGCCTTTTGGCGATTTTAATTAGTGCAGCTGGCTGATCTTAGTCCGCTGGGCACTTAATTAGCCACATGCTGAGATGGCGGAACGTTTTAACAAAAAAATATTACAGTTGAATTGCTGGGCAACTCTAATTAGCCTAAGGGCATCCATAGTCTAGACTCAAAAGACATAATAACTGGGCGGAAACTAAGCTTGCTAAAAAATATAGTGAAAATAGCAAGACATTTTAATGATAAACTATTACCATATTTAAGAGAGATATAACTTAATTTCTTTCTGCAACACAATCACAAATACCTCTGCATACTTTCAGGATTATGACAAATATTAAAAACGTTTTAACTTAAGCACTAAACAAAACCCTTTGCCTAATTAATTTGTTAAGCCAGGAAAAAACCATGTTAAACCATTTTAATGGCCACTAAAGACAGCTCCCTGATTCGCCATTACACATCCCTTTAAGAGGCAGCTATTGAAATAGTTTCAATAGAAAACATCTAAATCTACCGCCACATATTTATGCCGATCGTGCGAAAAGCATTATTCAAACTTGATGGCCAATTTCGCAGGCAGACAAACTACCTTCATCTACTCTATTCACATTTTTTTTATGAGCCCCCATCATAAAAGCTGTCATTCATTAGGGCCATGATTAAGCCA